AGAGAGAGAGAGAGAGAGAGAGAGAGGGCGTGTGTGTATGTGTGTGTGAGCATGTGTGTGTGTGTGTGTGTGTGCGAGTGTGTTTGTGTGTGTGTGTGTGTATGTGGGTGTGTGGGTGAGTGTTGCTGTGCATATATGCTCCAATGTGCATTTGCATGGAGTAATAATATTGATAAAAACAAAAATAACAGTAATAACAGCAACAATAAAAACAACAAGCACATTGATGCTAAGGAGAATACTGATAATAATTTAGAAAAAAAATTATAATAATGATGATGATGATGATGATGATGATGATGATGATGATGATGATGATGATGATCATGAGGATGATAAAGTGTACCTTGATGAGCGCCTCCATGGCGGCGAGCGAGGCCTCCTGTAGGGGCGTGACCGTAGCCTCAGTGTAGGAGGGCACGATGAAGGGAGAAGCATCGCTCTGCACGGGGACACACAGTGTGCCTTTCAGCACGGCCGACAGTTTGTGCAGGTCCGCGGCCACGAACCGGGACTTGATGTGCTCGAACAAGGGCGGGAACGTCTGGATGAGCGCCGTGAGGAAGTTCTGGGACGGCAGGTACACCCTGGGGGATGGGGCGCCACCTGTTGGCCGCTCCTCGTTCTGGGAGCTCGGGGGTTTGGTCACCTCGGTGCCAATGTTCAGCCACACCTGGAGGACAAAGAGATCACGATATTGTAGGTTAGGTGTGCCCAAAACGTGTTGACGGGTTTGTTCGTCAATATTGGCGAATAGAAACTATCCTTGGAGAAAACTTTCCTTTTTCATCGTGAACAGTAATGCCTCTCAATCACAAAAAATAAAAATAAATTAAAACAACAAAATAAAAAAAATAAAAACTCTACCCGCACTAGGGACTTTTTTATACAAAAAAAATTTAAAACAAGAATTTTCCTGTTCAGAAAACTAAAATTAAGATGCCAATGATCCTAAACAACATTCACAAACCCAGTATCTTGGACAAGTTTGACACAGGTCATCCAAACATTCAAGGACCAATTCTTTATAACAATAAACCTTTAAAATGTAATTTACCTTCCCAGACAAAAAACAAAAAAATGCTTCATAGATCAATCTACGGGGACAACCCAACCCTCCCCAGGGACAACCAACCCCCCCCCCCCGCAAAAAAGAACAACTACAGACCCAACCCTCGATAATATCCGATAATTAAATAAAAAACACAATAGCAAAACCAAAACCAAAAAACCCCCTGTGAACCCACCTTCCAGGCAGCTGACCACAGAGGAATGTCATGGTCCGCCGAGTCCGAGATGGGTCCTTTAGAGCACAGTTCGTTGTTGGCCTTTTTCCCCGTGGCAGCTCCCGCCGCATCGCCAGTGCGATTCATCACCTCTGACGAGGGAGGCTCTATGAGACTCGGGCCCGTACTTTCCCCATCCTCAGAGCCTTTGGTGGCGCGGCCGATCTGCAGGATCTCCTGGAAGCTTTTGAGGGCGGCCAGGGAGACCTCTGCGTTCTGGCACAGGGCAGACAACTCGATGTGCTCCAGCAGGAGGGACCAGGCTCGTGGGAAGTCGCCTGATGTCAGAGGGAGAGAAGAGAGAGCCGTTAAGCGGGGTCGATACTGATAAAGGCCCTAGAGCCCCACCAATGACTCACCAACCCCCACCAAAATTGACAAAGTTCTTATAGCCCCAAAATACCTAGCCAAATCCCAACGACCACTCACCACGCCCAAGAAAACACACATCAAGACCACAACAACTTCTAACCTACGGCTCACCAAGCCCTAACAGCACCTATCAAAGCTCCAACAATCCTCAACCAACCCCTCACCTCACTTAGCCCAAACAATCCACGAACAATCAACAAACAAACAAGCACTCACCCAGCCCCTGCAGCATCTTCCTCTTGGCGTTGAAGGTCCTGGCCACGCCCGCCAGCGTGAGCACCCTTGTCTCCGCCCACTGCTTCTCGGCCGTGTCACGTGAGTGGTGGATCAGGATGTTGCCCGTGGACTCCTTGTCCCTGATCGTGGACGCGGAGCTGGAGAACTTCTGCACGTTCTCCAACAGCGGGAACAGAACCTGGGAGGAAAGGGTTTTACGTCAAGATTTAACTTTCGTTATAATAGAAATTACATCCATTCGCGCCTTTCAAATAACAAAGTGTCCAGTGCACTTTACAATAATACAAAGAACATACTTTTATAGTCATCATTTCATTCTCTCTCTCTCTCTCTCTCTCTCTCTCTCTCTCTCTCTCTCTCTCTCTTTTATTATCTCCCTTCCTCTCTCAATTAATCACTATATCTCTCTACCTCTCTCTTCCTCTCTGTACAGTATTTTTGAAACAACCGCCCATCCACCCCAATTGGCTATAGCAATAAAAAGGAGTTGCACAGAGGCATAACACAGTCTAGGTTTGCCAGCATCTGTGGTGTAGCGGTTAGGCGCTTTACCGTCAGATGCAGAAAACTGTGATGCAATTTCCTTGCAGGGAGAATTTTTATCGAGTATCTGTGTCTTTTCGCTAGGACGTTGTATCCCTTCCAACTCAGGTTAGCCCTGTCAGCTAGGGTTGAAGCCCGCCTCCTAAATTATCTAAACTGTGTTCTTGACAGAGACGTAAAACACCAAAATTGAAATACCCCCCC